TCCAGAAGCTTTTAGTTTTTTACAGAATCTTGTTGGAACAAATTGTTGATTTTTGGTTTTAAAAGAAGAATCTGAGTGATTTTGTGGAGACGACGCGGTTTGATGCTAAACGAGGTTGTTTACGGTCAGCTGAGGAGAACTTAGTTCTACTTTTTTATTCATCAGAAACTGATTCGAGGAATTGTTTTATTTTTAGTAATTTTTTAAAGCTGAGAATAGAAAACGTGATTTTTATGAAATTCTTGGCTCAGTTTTGATTTTAATTTTGTCAGAAAGTAACGAATCCAACCTTCTGTCTGAACGGTTTCTGTAACTGTGGACAAGCTTTTCAAAGTCAGCGTTAAAGCTGCAACAACGTCTTCAGAGAAACAACCTCACATATGATCACAGGTTCTCATCAGGATGTCCGGCGCTGAGCTGCTGTTTCTTCTTCAGGTGTCAGTGAGTGAAGCTGAGGTGGAGGTCAGCAGGACGTCACAAACACAAGAACACGAGCAGAAAGACGCTAAGAGTCCCGTCAGAGGCTGAATTCGCCGTCCTCTCAGTGAACTCTTTGATAAACAGGCAGCCGTGATGGTTTTTAATGCAGAAATATTGATTGTATGTGTTTTAAAGATGAGCTGAGCCACAGAGACGCCTCCAGCTGGACAGTCAGTCCTCCAGCAAACACAGAGCTTCACCTTCAGATACGTCTCAGAAGAAAACCTTCCTCTTGCCTCCAATATCTGCTGCGTACATTTTTAACGATTCATCACAAATTCACAGATTGAACAACAACAAGCCGCGAAGAAGAAGAGAAAAGAGACGGAGTTCAGCTTCAACCTGTGAAGAGCCCGGCTCGTATCTGATCTTATCAAAGAGCAAAGAGAATAAAAAATATAAAGAAAATAAAAATATATCTGAAAAATCTATAAAAAAATATTTCAAAAATTAAAATAATAAAATAACAATAATAAAACAATAAAAATAAAAACAAATAAAAAAGGAGCTCCTGTGGTAATAAAAGCCAGGATGTGACTCCAGGTCTGAAGCAGCAAACTGAGTCATGAACCTTCACATGTGGCACAAATTCACTTTTCTGCTCCACAGCCTGCAGCTTTCACGGAGGATGAAGCGACCTGTAGCAGACATGAGGGATCTGGCTATTTCCTGGCAGCTCAAACTGCAGCTTCTGTTAAACTCAAAGTGCCGTTAAAGCTGCGGAGTCCCAACATGTTGCTGAGTCACTGAAGGCCAGACAACTTGTTGAAAGCAGCCTTTCCATCCCAGAACCGTCCACCTGGTTTCATCATCCTGCAGCCGCCACAACACCAAGAAAGCAGCAGAGGCAGGTGTAATCCATCCCAGGATCATCTGTTTGATCAACCTGCTGCAGAAACGCTCACCGACTGCAGGCTGCTGGTTTCATCAGCAACATTCAAGAAGACACAGAGTTTTAAACAGGACGCTGTCCAACCTCATCTAGAAGTTATTAAAGACAGAAGACAAAGCAGGAAACCAGAACCATCAGCTCATGCAGCTGTCGCGAAGCAGCTCTCTGAGGCTGAGATGAAGCCCAGTGTGGATGCAGCTGGACGCTGACTGTCAACAAATTCTCAAAGACTCAAGATGAGTTCCTGTCGGTTCTGATCCGTCTGTTGCTGTGAGTCAGGAACTCTGCAACTTCTTGAATCAACAGTTTAAAGCTGTAAATGAATCAAAGTGGCTCCTCTGAGACTTTCCTTTTCCCTCTTTTATTTATTGATCGTTGCTTCTATGGAGATGAGTCCATCCTGTTGTCAGTGTTCTGCTGAACAACGTTTTCATGTTTGGTGTCTTTCTTGTGGTGCGTTGGCTGTTGCTAGGCAACGTGAGCACAGCTTCCAGAACAAGCGGAGCTCTGCAGCTCTTCAGGGGTCCGTTTCCAGAAACTAACCGTTCACACAAACTAAACTGAAGTGTGGAGCCGAGAGAGACTCAGCTGAGACCAGCAGCCAGGACACCAACATCTGGAGGGTCTTCAGCTGGACCGCAGGCAGAGAGGAGACCAGCCTGGAGACCAGTTAAACATCTGGAGTCTGGAGAGGCTGACTGGTACCACTATGATCCATCCCATAATACTGATGCTACCAGCTGCTGGCAGAGGACATGAACAGAACCAGGTCCAGTGTTCAGACTGAGACACCTGGATGGATGTAGAACTGATCTGGTGTCAGGTTCTAGCAGAACCCAGATGTGTTCTTCCTCCTAAATGTCATGTGTCTATCTGCTGTACTGATGAAGTTCTGAGGCTCAGAAATGATGGAAAAAGTTCATTAAAGTGATCAATCTGGACCCTCCTCTGTGGACTTCAAGGACCTGGACCTCTGGAACATTCACAGTCTGAAGGTAGAACTCTGGTCAGTAGATGAAGGTGCTACAGAACCAGAACCAGAGGTTCTGAGGAGATTGATTTTAAATAGATGGATCCTCCTCTGACACACTCTAAATAAATCCTCTGAGTTTATTAACACGGTTTCTTTCTTCAGCTAATTAGATGTTTGGTTCTGATTAAAGTAGAAATAAATAAACGATCTCGTTATTACTCCATATCTTTTCCAACAACATGCATTAACGCTGGATGTTTTTTTCGGTGTATATTATTCTAATTACTGAGCTTTAATTAAAACCACACAAACCGTCCTTTAATGGAATCAGTGCAGCACAAATCGAAACTCATTAAGTGGCGTCCCGTCGTTACAGACCTTGTTCTCTCCCTCGATGACGATGACGGGGACGGAGGTGGCCGGCCAGCGGTGCTTCGCAGGAAGAGCTTTGTCGCAGTTCCACAGGACGATGATCTGCAACACAACAGACGGTGTTTTCAGAGGAACGTCGGCTCTAATTGAATTCATTCTCTCCTCGAACCAAAACAGCTCCTCTGCTTGTTGCTGAATCAAGCCAGCAGCGCTGACATTTAGTCCTCAGACAGCAAATGTCACCTTATTACAGGCTGATTAAAGAGCAGGAGGGCGACTGAAGGGAGGAAATATTTCCAATTACACTCTGCAGAAGAGCTTTTACATGTCAGCCTGTAAACGCCTCCATCTCCAGTCAGACCATGTTTTACAGTAACAGTCGTTTGGTAGCAGCCTGCAGGTCGGCGTGCTCACAGACCTCATGAATATTAATGATGACCTAAACACACCCACATTCCCACACCTGCTCCTCGTACGTCCTCAGTGATGCAGAGCTGAACGCTGACCAACCACATGAAGGACACGTTTTTAAAACTTCATCAAAATGATGCCGTTTATTAGAATCAGAAACTGGAAATGAGAACAAACTAATAAAATGTTGGATTGTCAACTCTCCCACAGTCCTTGAACTACTCGTCTGCTGTTGTGTTGAGAAAATGAAACAAATCTCAGAATCTTAGAATTGTGATATTTCACCAAAATCCATCCATCATCTCTACACCTTCATCTTCACTATGGGGGGCTGGAGTCTATCCCAGCTGACCTAGGGGGTGAAGGCAGGTTCACCTGGACAGGTAACCAGTCTATCACAGGGCTACACTTAGAGACAGACAACCAAGCACACTCACATTCACACCTACGGACAATTTACAATCACCAATTAACCTCAACATGTTTCTGGACTGTGGGAGGAAGCCGGAGAACCCGGAGAGAACCCACGCTGCACGGGGAGAACATGGAGACTCCACGCAGATTCTGCAGAAAGTGGAAATTTCACCCCACTGAGAAGCTTTTAGTGACTGAGCTGTGACCAGCAGTCAGGATACAAACATCCAGGAAGGTTTCCACAGAGCAGAGAAAGCAGCTGGAGCTGTTCAGGTCGACATCTGTGGAAACATGCTGCTTCCATGTCTCTGATATTTTTGTAAAATAAATGATGGCAGAACGTGTCATTTGTGTCACTTTGACTGTTTGTCAGGCTGAAGTGCAGACGGTCGGACATGTTGGTTCCACATGTTTTAAAACACTTTTATAAAATAAACACATAAATTCGATGGTTGTTGTTTTCTTCTCTCTGGTCTTCGTCGTTCTGAGTCCTGCAGACAGAAGACGTCTCTGAGTTCTCTCTCCTCCTGCTTCATGTTCTGGTTCCTCAGAGCTGCAGGACTTCATGTAGAAACATGAAGCTCAGTGAAGGACCATGAAGCAGGAGGAGCTCCAGAACGTTAGAGTGTTTCATCAGTTTGTCTGGTTCAGGTTTGGTTTAAAACAGCAAACTGGTCCTGGATGTGACTATCAGCAGCTCCAGTCTGGCTTTTATTAGACTTCCTGAGTGAGCATGTTCTCCTTAATCAGCTTTTCTTCATTAGACTTAAAGTGAAATGTTCCACAGACGTTCCTGTTCCTGTATTTACAGTACATATATATATTTTGTCACTTTGCTTCAGACTTCTGAGCTGGTGAAGACGTTCTTAGCGTCCATCGGCCCTCAGGGCCACAGCAGATTGCAGTTTTTCCTCAGCTGGGGAGGGTTTTGGCGCTGTGCCTGCAGGTTTTCACTCTGACGAGGTTCCGTCTTTAAAGAGTGGAACCGTGTTGTTGGAGGTGTGAAGCTGTCGTGGTTCAACAGAACGTGCCTCCTGCAGAGCGTCGGCTGGCAGCTCACGTCCTTGAACAGTCAGCGAGCGAATGAATGGCAGCAGAGCGGAGCCAAAGCTCTGATGGAACCACAAGAATTCCCCTGCAGGGATCAATAAAGGTTCCCATTATCCGAGGCTTGGTGCGTCACACCGCGGGCAGCTCCAGGTTCTGGCTCTGACTGGACCTGCACAGCTATTCGCTGGAAGCTGCTTTGTGTCTGGTAACGTTTCTGCAGCTGCTGCAGCTAAAGATGCAAATACGTCACCGGTGCAAGAAACACACGACGCACACCTGATTATCTGAGAGTCAGCAGAAAACACAGAAGCAGTGAGGAGATGCTGTCCAGGTCCAGGCCTCCGACACCACGTCATCAGACACAGAAGATAAGAATCGTTTTCTGGTTTAAGCTGCAAACATGAGTCTGATTGTTAAATGAAGGTGATGCTGTGAGTCATCATTTCTGCTTTCGTTGATTTAAAACTCAGCTGGAGATTTAAAGCTTCGGTCAAAACTGAAACTAAGAAGTTTCGATTTAAAGTAGAAATCTCCACATCTGCTGGATGAGCTTTTTTCTGATATCTGATGTTTTTTACACACACTCCAGTCATTTGCTTCCAGCTCTGAGCGCGACAGAACGAGGAGGCAGAGTTCAAAACAAACGTTAAAACAACGTGTTAGAAATGTTCAAGTCCTGACAGCTGACTGTGAACCAGTGGACTTCAATGTGGACAACTGGCTGCAGTTCTGGTTCTGAGCGGGTTTCCTTTGGTACCAACCATAAACACGACTTCAGGAACCTTTTCCTGCAACTTATTTAAGTTCATGGATGACGTTTAGAATCAGAACTCTGACTGGATCAGTGATGTTCTGCTCACGAGAAAACGGACCTCCACAAGTTTTAAAGACGGAAAGTCAAAGAATAAGAAGTTCATCCACATGCACGGACACACAACCACACACACAACCACACACACAACCACACACACAACCAGATACACAACCACACACACAACCACACACACAACCACACACACAACCATACACACAACCACACACAACCACACACACAACCACACACAACCAGATACACAACCACACACACAACCAGACACACAACCAGATACACAACCACACACACAACCAGACACACAACCAGACACACAACCAGATACACAACCACCTGTGAGACAGGTGAGGAACAGGTGCGACGATAGTGTTACATTTGAGACTGGTGAGATGGGTAAGGAACAGGTGGGACAGGTGAGACAGGTGAGACAGATGAGACAGGTGGGACAGGTGAGACAGGTGGGACAGGTGAGACAGATGAGACAGGTGGGACAGGTGAGACAGGTGAGACAGGTGAGCAGGTCCTACCTGGGCGCAGTACTGGGACTTGGCCACGGCCAGCAGCAGCTTGAGGATGGGCTGCGACTGGGACACCAGCGGGGAGACGGCGTGGATGACGGCGGTGAACTTTGGGTACGGTTTAATTCCTGGAACAGAAGCAGCAGAACGGTGGCTGTCAGCATTCAGCCTCTTTGAACAGAACACAGAATGACGGCTTCGCTTCCAAACACTTCATGTCTATTTCCAGACGCTCTCTGGCAGGACGTCTCTTTAAAGCCTTAAAATATTCAACGTTCATGTGTTTAGAAAGTGAATATTTGAGCTGAAACTCTTGAGCTGCAGCCTGATAATCAGACACTAACTGCTGATGGGGCTTTAAACTCTGGATCACAGTAATGGAGGCTGAACATCAGCAGGAAATAAGATATGGAGGAAGACGGATCATAGAGGACGTCCAACTTCTCTTCATTTAAATGTAATCTGAGGCGAAGCAGCAAAGCATGGCGGCACCACGTCGCATCAGAGCAACTTTTATGAAGAGGAGCTTCGTCGGTGCTGAAACTTGGGTCTGGGATGAGAAAGTGATGAGTCGGCAGAGTTTCAGCGCCTCCATGTGAATCATGATCAGACTTTCAGGAGACACTGAGCCGCCTCCTGCTGCAGCTGATCAGGACTCCATCAGCTGATCAACGAACTGTGGTTCACCTGCAAACGTCTGTCCAGAAGAGTTTGGATGCTTCATCACTGACGTCACCTCATATGTCACTACGAACACGCATGAAAGGAAAGAGCAGTGAGAACGCTGCAGACCTGAAGCAGCAGCTGGTAGAAATGTCTCCAGCACAGTACGACTAAGCTGTGTTGTCTTTAATTATATATATGAAGAGTTCATTTGCAAACACAGATTACTCCATTTTTGTAGATCTTCAGAAAACGTATTTTTTTGTTGTTTTCTTGAGAAATGATCAAACTGAAGCTGAGTGGACTTGACTCAGTAGAAATGACACAAACAGAGATAACTAAGTGTGACTGGTGTTGTCTCAGGTAGACGATGGAGAGGTGGGCTTTCTGAAGGTTTGTGGAGATGGACTTCTGTTTTTGCAAATGAACTCTTCATATCTATATTAAAAAGGAGTCGATGCCCAAAATCACAGCATTTATCACGAAACTGTAAAAAAATCACATTTTCAACTTTCCATCAGTCTTTGAATGAATGATGAAGTTTTGTCTTGAAAACCAACCAGATCTGAGCTCCGGGGCTTGATTCTGTCATTTAAACGGTTTCTTCAACCAGATTCTGCAAAAAGTTTTAATTTCTGCTCGTTCAGGGCTGCAAGCAGATGTAGTTTCACTTATCGTTGTTTTTCCCAGCAGCAACATCTGAGTGAATATTTCCTAAAACCCCAGAAGCTGCTGCACACGTATGACCTGAGGAGCCAGAGGCAGCGAGGACGGAGCTGAACCTCCTCTGATGATCAACAAGGTCTTCTTCTGTGATTTTACTTTTAATATGCTTCATTTAACAAAACAGGCAAATGAATCATCATTTTTCAGGCCTCAATATTGTTTCTTTTAAATAACATATATATAAAATATAGATTTTTTCAGATTCTGTCATTTTAAGGTCAAATGTTTTAAAAATACAGATTTTTTAATGTGCAGATTTTTTACAGTTTTGGACTTTTTGTTTTACGGTTTACATGTAAATCAATCGTTATTTTGTGATTTTACTGGATGTTATGTGTAAATAAACAAAGCAGAGAAAATCTGTAGCAACGTCTACGAGAAGTTTACAGATGATCAGTGTAAGAAATACAATAAAATACCAAATAAATACACAGGAATGTGTTAAAATCTGTAATAATGAACAACTGTTATAAGACTTACAGGTAAAAACCTCCATGTTTAGGTGTGGCGGTGTTCCTAATAAAGTGGCCTCTCAGCGTGTTCCTTCTTGTTCTACAGCCTCAGAGTTATCATCAGCTTCAATAAAACAAACGGTGTCTTTAATCAAAAGTCTGTTTGGCTGAAGATAAAACCGAAGGAGGCTCCTGATTGGCCCTCAGACAACAACAGAAGGAAACAAACTCTTCTTCTCTGGTGTTATTTCCTGTCAGTGACAGATTGTCTACGGAGGCCTCATGTTTAACTCTGTGGTTCTGGCGCCGGTCCGCTCAGAGCTGAGCTTTGGCCGGATGATGGTGGTGGAGTGAACAAGTGAGGGATGGAGGGAAACTCGCCAGCGCTGAACCGTGGAATCGACTGCAGTAGCAGCACTGAGTCAAACAGCAGTTATGGACGGCCGGCGGGTCAGCAGGACCAACACAGACATCTGTCACAGAACCGCTGGAGGAGGCAGCGGGTCGGAGAAGGTCCAAACCAGCAGTACTGAAATCCTTCAGCACTAAGGAACTTTGGCCTGAAGTTCATGATCAGATGTGGTTCTGATGAGTCACTCATAAAGTCTTCAGCAGACGTCACATCATCACACATCTGGTGTGGATCAGAAGTAGAGAAGCTGACGGTGAGATATATCTGGAAGTTTACTCTGGTCATGGACATACAGGTGAAGTACAGGTGTGACAAGGTCCACTTCAGAACTACCAGCAGTATCTGCCTCTATGCCCATGTACCAGGAGGAAGGGCCGTCGACCCAGGGAGGGTCTTAGCCAGTGCTGCTA